CTTTTAACTGAAGTATAGTTTTCTATTTTATAAACTATTTAAGAAAAAACACTTCATTTGCATTGTTTTTCTTCAAACAATAACAATTTCCCCTATATACTAGAGATATAAAGTTGAGCATTAACAATCTTGAATAGACCTGATGTCAGCCATTAGTATAGCAAAGCAAATGTCAGATCCCACATACTGGACTTTTTGATAAAACAACTTGTCAATATTTAAGAGCTTTATTAGAAGCTTTATTCTGGACTGAACAATCCACGATTGTTTGAATTTGCTGCTGATCCTCCAAGACACTAATGGGAGATATTTGTAGAACTTGTTCAGGTTCTTCAAACCATTTATCAACTCAGTTTTACTTCTTAACCATAAGAAGAGCAGAGAAGAGCAAAACGATTATTAGGAACCTGGAGGGTAAAACATATGAAAAAGGTTGCAGGAATTGGGTACAGCTGGTCTAGTGAAAAGGACTAGGGGTGACATGATAGCAGTGTCCCAATATTTGAGAGGCTGCCACAAAGAAGAGAGAGTCAACCTATTTTCCAAAGCACCAGAAGGGAAAACAAGAAACAATGGATGGAAACTAATCAAGAAGAGAAGCATAAGGAGAAATTTCTTAACAGTGAGAACAATTAACCAGTGGGACGGTTTTCCTTCAGAAGTTGTGGGTGTTTCATCACAGGAGGCTTTTAAGAAGAGACTGGACACCGACTTGTTTGAAATGATATAGGGCAGTGGTGGCAAACCTATGGCAAGCGTGCCAGAGGTGGCACTCAAAGCCCTCTCTGTGGGCACGTATGCCATTGCCCCAGCAGAGTTCGCCAGAGTAGCGAGCGCATGACATTTGGAAGTGACAGGACAGGAAGTGAGCAAGCAGCATTGTCTTCCCGAGGATGCCCCGGAGATGGCGAAGGACTGGCCCCACCACCCTGGGCCCGGCCATGCTCATCCAGTCTGCTGTGATCACTGCAGCCACGCCCACCCAGTGGGCCACACCCCCACGCCACCCCTGAGGGCACCACAATGCTAATGCAGCCCTGGCACTTTGCAATAAATAAGTGGGTTTTGGGTTGCAGTTTGGGCACTCAGTCTCTAAAAGGTTTGCCATCATTGATATAGGGTTTTCTGCTTCTACAAGACCTCCAAGGTAGTAGTGGGATTCAGCTAGTTCGCACCACTTTGGCAGAATCGGTAGCTAATTTTTTGTTGCCCAGGCCCAGAATGGACTTCCGGAAGTGGCATCCACACAGAGAACCAGTTGTTCACATATTTGAATCCCACCAGTGCTCCAAGGTCCCTTCCAAGTCTGTTATTTTAAAAACCTATTTCTGCCAGTAGAATTTATAAGAATATATATTAAAACAGACAAGTCTCTGTTTTTCTTTTCTTTTAAAATCCAGTTCTTTATTCACATATACATTTTTATTGCAAGCTTACCAGTAAGATCACACCAATTGGTTATTCCAAAAGTGATACTATATATGAACTACCAAAATAATTTTAATAGTACACAGAATTGGCTTATTTATGGAGGTAGTAGGAATAATGGACCAGAAAATTAGTAGATCCAAAATACTGTACCAGAGATTGATTGCCTACTTAAAGATACAAAGAGTTCAAGAAATAGGATACATGGATATATCGCTACTTTGGTCAGCAACCAATATTCTCTTAGAACCGTTAATTGACACACATGAAATCCAGTTCACTTTCTCTCCATGTTCAATGGTCAATTTGGGTGAAATGGATAGGCATTCATTTGTCTGCTCTGGGTTCATTTTGTCAACTTTCATGATGGCATTTTTCTTTTTGTGAATTGCCTTGTTTGGACTTTTCAATTTTCCAATTTCATTGCTAACATCCCACAACAATATTCTGCCATCATTCCCTCCTGTAATAAAGCAATACATTTCTGGCAGAAAGAAAATCTGTGACACTCCTAATAAGTGACCTTTAAAGGCTACTTCCTGTTCAAACTTGGGACCTGTTACTCGAAAGATTCTGATTTTACCATCTTCAGCTCCACAGCCAAAGACATTGCCACAAGTAGAAACAGACAATGAATGAATCAATGGTGGGTTAAAGAGTTGGCCAATCCCTTGCTCAACTGCTTCTTCTTCTTCTTGCAAGTTCATAATCCATTGTGGGCGAGTTTTTTGCAAGTTCCACATTATAATCTGTAAACAAAACAAAAAAAAATTCTTAATATAGAAGTCATGTAAACGTAAACTTTCATTGTCATGTTCCCCAGAATACGAAAGTGATACAGCTCACATAAATCATGTTTTAGTTTACAGATAAAAAACACCTGTTGACTTAAATTATATCTAATATAGAATTACTCTTATTTCATTATTTTTGAAATTTATAAACTACTTCAATTTCAGGGACTTTTTAAAAAAATATTAATATTAGTTTCATACCAAAATATCGTTTACTGTATTTACTACAAGTATTATATCTATCTACCAAATTGATCAAGCTATATTATGCAGAAATTATAGATTTCCAGCAAAGTGGTTAAACATGAAAATGTTTAAAGCCCATGGGACAGAGACTTGTAGATTAGGTACTGCTTTTCAGTGGTACCATATATGTTATAGAATAGACTCTACCAGAAATTAGGTTGGCCTCTATAGTTTTGTTCTGGAAAATTTATTTTAGAGGCCTTAGGCTAATTGGAAGATTTCTTGGTAGTATTATTTTCGGTTGTATAGCAGGGGTCTTCAAACTTGGCCCTTTTATGACTTGTGGCCTTCAGCTCACAGAAAAGGGCCATGTTTGAAGACCCCTGTTGTATACTCTTAATTGTAATCACTAATTGAGAAGGGTGCAATTATGATAAATAAAAATTAAACTGCTTTTCTGTAGAACTCAGTCCTATATAGTATATTATTTAGAAAGCCAAATATGTAAAAACTATTTTTATTAGAAGTTCAAGTACTATGGTGGAAAATAAATATTAACTACATATTTTTATATCAACTTTATTACAGATAGTTCTTGATAAGATCTAATCTAAATATAATACTGAGTTGATTTTATTCATTCATTCATTTGGAGTTTTTCATTCTTTGCATTCTGCAGAAACATATATCTGTTCCAAAGGATAAAGCAAAAAGTAATCTCATCTGGCAACAATGTCTGTTTTGTTGGCAGTAATGTATCATTGTGTATAAATCCTTTTCTTTCCTTATCTCCTATCCTTAAATCAATTTTCTATCTTCTGCATTGATCAATGTTTCAGTTGGGAAACAATGCTGGTATCTCACTTACTACTTCAGCCTTAGCTTTAATTGTGCAGCTGATGTTGAGATTCTGAGCAAGTTAATTTTCAGAAAGCATTTTTTAAATCTGGTTCAGCTGGCCTATTCTATACTTCTATAGAAAAACAATCCATTTTTGAACAATTATAGCAATTGACAAGTTGGCAAACATATTTCTAGGACCAAGGGAACAGATTACAATGCTAGGAAGAATAATAGTAATCACCTTCTGTTGTGACCTTTCCCCATTTGCTTTATAGTGCATAAAATACTTCCCCTGATGGAATAACAAAAAATCCACATATCTATTCTATATTACCTGAGAGTCTGAGGAATTCTGGGAGTTGAAGTCCACAAGTCATAAAAGGGCCAAGTTTGAAGACCCCGTGGTTTACATCAATCAAATAAGTGATATTAGTAAGCTTTCATCTACTGCTGATTACCTTCATATCCAGGCCACATGAAAGAAGGCTTTGTGGCCTCTGGGGTCGAAATGCAGTAGATGCACAAATATTTGAATGTCGTTGCAGGCAGCGACTCAACTTCTTGCTTTGTAAGTCAATTATCTTTATGGCTCCAGAATCATCTGCAGCAGCCAAGAAGCTGTCTGTTTCATTTACTGAAAGACAATTGATCTCTTCCTCATTTACATGGAAACATTCAACTGGCTCCTTGAGACACCTGGTATCCAGCATACTAATAATTTCCCCATGAGAAGCATAGAGTCTTCTAGAACAAGTGGGAGAAAATATAACACTAGTGACATCATCTGCTTTTTGAAGCCGTACACATTCCAAAGGATTTCCTTCAGCATTCCAAATTGTAAGCTCCCCTCCTTCTGCTCCTGAAGCCAATAGACCGTCTTTGCTCACATTTAGGCTTAGTACTGAAGAAGAATGTCCATTGGTCCACTTCTTTGCCATCATATCTCAAGACAGACTGAAAAAAAATTGATCAGAGTAATATTTTGTTTTGATATACATTGAAGAATCAAAAAGTGATTACATTGTGTTATTTTTAGATTAATGTATTCAAATAAAGCACCTACTGATTTAAACACTTAAACATCTAAATTCCAAAATATTGACTCTCAAATATAATGGCCTTACAATCACAATCAATCGATTTGGGACACTAATATTTTCCAATGTAAACTTAATACTTAGGCACAATGAATACGGTAGTGTGTATAAGCACAATGTCTGTTTGAGATAGGCCGTTGAATAAATACATACGGCATAAAGTTCAAATAAGTGTATAACAAATCAGCCACCTTAACCCAGCCACCACTTTCCTACTTCACTCGATATTTGCATTACCTCAAAGCAAAGAATCAATTTCTCCCGATACCAAACTCTCTTCCGGCAAAGAAAATTTGCTGGGTCTGTTTAGTATTCCCCCTTGACAGGTGAAGTTTTTGCGCATGCGTTTAGGACAGCATCCTTTTTCTCATGCTCAGCAATGCCCTTAACCAAAATGGCCGGCTCACGTTCAAGGCCCTGCTCCTTACCGCATGACATTAAAATAAAATAAATAAAAGATGTGTTGTCCAAGAAGCCAGCTTCAACACAGATCCTAGATTGTTCTTGCCTCTGCCGTACTCGAAAATCTAAAATCAGGAGCAGTACTTCCCGACGTCTCCGTATAACAAGATCTCTCAAACAAACGCGTTCATTTCCGCCTCTCCTTGCCGGCAACAGACGAGGAGTTCGTTGGCAGGGTAGCACCTCCTACTTTTGCAGCCGACGGCGCGCGCCGGATTGGCTCTCTGGTTAGCGGGTAGGCTCGCGGTTTCTAGCCGCCTTCGCCTGGGCCGGGCCGGTCGGTTTGGAAGGCGTGCGCGCGCAGAACGCGAAGGCCGGTGGTCAATCGCCTGAGGCTATGGCGGCAGCGGCGGCGGCTGCCGGCAACGGCGGAGTGCCGAACTCAGCCGCTGCTGCGGGCGGTTGGCGGCTTCCCGGTAGGGTACTCGAATTCGTCTTCTCCTACTTGGACCTCCGGGAGCTACGGAGCTGCGCGTTGGTGTGTAAGCTGTGGTACCGCGTTTTGCACGGCGACGAGAACAGCGAGGTGTGGCGCAGCCTGGCGGCTCGCAACCTCGCCGAGGAGGCGCTACGCAACGATATCCTCTGCAACGTGCCCACCTACAAGGGCAAGGTCAGGCGAGCCTGTAGGGCGACGCTTCAGCGCGCTCCGTTCGGTGTTCGTGCGCAGGCACACTGAAGGTGGGGAAAGGAGGGGGGGGGACGAAGAGGCAGCTTACCAACCTGCTCTCTGTCGAGTCCGGTGCAGCTTCCCGGCTCCATTTCTAGCCTTTCAGATGCTGAGGATGGGGTCAGCCTCGGAGACACGCCTCGCAATTGCCTCAGTTGTTTATGGGTGAGCTAAGCTCATGGGACTATTGGGAAGGCAGGAGAGGAGATTCCTCACTTGCTCAGAGATACTCTGATGGATTGCTTTGTTCAACCTTGATAGTGGTCGCGGATTCTAGAGTTGTCACATACTTTCACCCGCTGTCGTCTTTTGCTGGGCATTGCATCGCAGTGGTGGGGTAATATTCCTTATCCACATGTTATGTAGATGTGGCCTAGATATCTTTTATATTAGACATTGTGGCGCTGCCTTAAGCTTAGGCAGCAAATTCCATCATGCCGAAGCAAAAGGAGTTTGTGGAAGAACTGGAACTTTGAGCCCTTTCCCCTCTGTGCTCCCCCAGCTTTGTAAAAATTTGTCATTTTAAACCCTTTGTAGGTTTGCTCCTTATTTTCTTTCATAAGTCATGTGTACGTTTATAACTTTACATATGCCTTAAGACATATATTTTTTGTAGGTCATATACCTGCAAAAAAGATTGCCTCATTTTAATGATATTATATAAATCACTCTGGCAATCTGTTTCTAAAGAACCAAGTAAGAATGTTGTAAATAATTAAAATAAATGTACTGTACTAAAGAATAAAAGGAACAGGAAAGGAGAGCCACTGTAAAATGATTCCTATTCTCTCCTTTCCCTGCTTACTGTTTCTGAAAGGCTGAGTCAGGCTCCTGCTCCTCTTCATCCAGTTAGACTGAGAATGTGGAATTGTGACATGTACTGATTTTACTTTATTATTTTTTACAGAATGGTTGTGGAGTAAAACACATTTTAAGTTTTCCATACTTCACTGAGAAATAGTTGATGAGCATGTGTTCTGGTGCTGATGAATTTTTAATTACTCTCCTCTCAGAGTGACACTGCAAACTTACAAGTGGCTCATTACAATGTGATATTTAAATTGTATTTCTAATTCAGTCTGCATTGATTAGACTATTTGTGCTAATGCTGACAGGGTGGATTTGATTTAAATCGAGTTGATTAAATCTAGTAAAAAGGCTTGATTTAAATCAACTCGATTTAAATCATAATTACTAAGGAGCAACTGTCTTCTCTGTCCTGCAGCAGCTCCCCCTCTGACCCGCTGTTGATTCACCGACAGTCCCATTCATTTTAATGGGACGGCTGGTGATGCAGCAGTGACACAACAAGGTGCGGGACGTGGCGGGCAGCAGGTGAGTGGATGCCCGCTAACAGGCACTGCCATGATGGATCTGAAATGACAGGTGCTCTTTAAATGTAAGGACTCATTCTTGCTGGTAGTTAGAATCTTTAATATTATTATTTGCAAACAAAATGAAGGCTTCCTATTTAGAATAATAAGCTGTCAGGTTAGTAAAACAGCGATATCAGAACCAATTTTAGGTTAATAGGTTAATCACATATACCGCGTTTCCCCCAAAATTAGACCTACCCCCAAAATAAGACCTACCCTGATTTTGGGGGTAAGCCTAATATAAGGCCTATCCCAAAAATAAGCCCTAATTAGAACCCTGCCCACTACGTTCCGGCGCGCTGCTGCAATGGGGCAGGAGAATGACTGTCGCGCCGTTGCCACCACAACGAGGCAAGGCAGGTGGAGGAAGGGGTGGAGCTGCCCCATAAACCCTGCACCTGCTTATTTCAGGGCCCCTCAGCCAGGCCATTCCTTGTTCAGCTATCTTCCCTTTTACTCCCCTCCTGAGCCAGTCTACCATACTACACAGGATGGGTGGAATAGGCCCGGTCCCCCTCCGCTGTTTTAGAGCCGGGGGGAGTGACGGCGAAAGGTCCACTGTTGCTGTTTGTTGCTGGAGGGGCTTCGCGCTTCACCCAACAGATCACCTGCCTGGTGGTAGCTGCCACCTCCTACTCCATCAACTCTCCCATGGCTTGTGCTGTGACCGGGCAGTGCAAGCCTCCCCTGCTGCCTCCCTCTGCCAGCCCTCCGTCGCTGCCACTAGAGAGAACGGGTAGAGGAGTAGCTCTGCACAGCGATGCAGAGCAGAGAAGAGCATTTGCTTGCTGCCCTGCATTGTCTCCCTTCTCCGTTCTGGAAATGGTAGCCCCATTTCCTGCCGCTTCTCTTCCCAGTGCTGCTGTAGAATTTGGTGCACTGCCATCCAGCTCCTCTGTTCCCAATAGCATTTCTTCACTAACCTGCTTTCCAGCTCTGGCCCGTTTCTTTCCTGCTGCAAGGAAACAGAGTTTGTGGGATTAAAAAACTTCAGTCAGACCTTCCAACTTCTCACAAAAAAAAAAAAAAAAATCTCGCAAGAAATTGAAAGGTCTGACTGAACTTTTTTTATTTTGGGGGAAAGACGATAGTTGAAGAACTACTCAAATTCTTTTATTTAATTAAAACACATAGAGCCTATACAGATGCATTTTTCTTCAAACAATCATAGTTTGTAGCATTCATAGATTTGCAAAACAATGGGATAAAAGAATATTCCTGAACTTTGTTTTATGATTTATCTCATGGTTACTGTGAAATTGTGTGAATGCATCAATGCAGTGCATGTTATCTCAGCTTGCAAAGCTTGGATTCATTGAATGAGTTTACTAAAAATGTAAATATTGCAGAATATACAACCTCATGCTACATAACTAAACTCCATTTCATGCTGAATAAACTAAATTATTAATGTATATTAAATAGAAAATTATGTTTAGATAGATTTTTACTCCAAAAGCATTTTATTAAAATAAATTTGATAAAAATAAAAAATCCAATTATTAAAAAATCAATTTTTAATTTTTTTTAAAAAATCATTGTTTATTATTCACCCTGAATGCTGCATATGTAGCAAATAACAAATATAATATTTGCGCCAAGTAATAAATGTTTGAACAATTTACGCTTTTTTATGGAGATGGTTTTTAGTTTCTTATCTTACATGTGCAGCTGGTGTTTCAGAATGTTTTCTCTATCTTGTCTTTAGGTGTTAAGTCTTGGTCTTGCAGTGATACAAAAATAAAATATTTATTCAAGAGTGAATATAAGCATTTGAATAACTAACAATCTTATTTAGTTTGAAAGACCTTCTCAACTTCTCTTTATTTTGTAAAACTTTTTTTTTTAGGTACGTGCCTTTCAGCATGCTTTCAGCACTAACGATTGTTCCAGAAATGTCTATATTAAGAAGAATGGATTTACTTTGCACCGGAATCCCATTGCTCAGAGTACTGATGGAGCAAGGACCAAGATTGGCTTTAGTGAAGGCCGTCATGCCTGGGAAGTCTGGTGGGAAGGTCCTCTTGGTACAGTGGCAGTAATTGGAATTGCTACAAAAAGAGCTCCCATGCAGTGTCAAGGTTATGTAGCCCTCCTAGGGAGTGATGACCAGAGCTGGGGCTGGAATTTAGTGGACAATAATTTATTACATAATGGAGAAGTCAATGGCAGTTTTCCACAGTGCAACAATGCCCCAAAATATCAAGTAAGTGAAATCCAATGTTTTTTGAAAGGGCTACATCAGTGTTATGACAGATTACTTCTTCTGCAATTAACTTAAATTTCCCTATTCTGTCATGCTTAATTCCTTATTTTCTCATGCTCCATTCCCTTGCACGCTGAAGATCTGCTTTAGGGTATACCTTAACTTTGGAAAATATGCAGAGATTCTATGTAGACATAGAAAGGGGCAAACAGAATCCTGACAAGCTTTGTTTGTCCAACTGAAATACAATATGGGTTGCAAATTAGAAGCCACCCAGAGTTGGTTAGTAGATAAAAATAAAAATAATAATCCAAAAGTTTTGTTAAAATTTTAATGAGTGAAGCCTTTGGGAATTCTTAGGCAATGTTTTGAATGAATTTTGTTTAAGTAAAATTTTCTGTGTGTGTGTATGTGTATGCGCAATTCGGAAATAAGCCTCCATTTGAGCACGTGTGAGAAATAGGTGGGGATAGCGATACTTCTCTTATGGCACCGTGTTCAGTAGTTCAGTAGGCAGTGAGGAGTGACAGGAGAAGGTTGCGTTGCAGTTGACTCGTCCGTTAGATCAGTTGAAAATAAACCCTGCCATAGAAAATCCCGCCAAATGTGAAGTGTGTGCAGTAATATGATTTCTGTGTGCAAAAAACCTTTCGGCAGCTGTGATTCATCGCAAACTGTAATGTTTACAGACCAAACATGATGAGTGAAGGTGTTGTATGTTAGTGGTTTAAAGATGGACGAACTGAAGTGCACGAGGCAAAAAATGGCCGCCCATCTGTAGTCAGCGATGAACTCGTGCAAGAAATTGATAAAAAGGTCCATGAAGTTCATCGGTTCACAATAACTGCACTTTGTTTACACTTTCTCCAAATTTCTTGGACTGTTTTGTACAAGGTAGTGACAGAAAATACCACAAGTTCTGTGCTTGTTGGGTACCAAAACTCCTTTCTGAGGAGCATAAAATATAAAAAGGGGTTCTGCTTTGGACTTTCTCACATGTTATGCCGAGGAAGGAGAATAATTTCTTAACAAAATTGTGACTGGCGATGAGATGTCATATGTGAACCCCTAAAGCAAACAGCAATCAATAGTGTGGTGTCATACCAAAGAAACCCCAAAAAGGTCAGCAAATATTCTCTGCCAGAAAGGTTATGGCAATAGTATTCTGGGATGCCAAAGGAGTATTGCTGGTAAAGTTCATGGAGTGTGGATCGACCCATCAATTTAAAAGTCTACTGTGAAAGGTTATGAAAACTCAGATGAGCCATTCATAAGCCATCCATCAGGGCATGCTGATTTCTGATGTGTTGGTTCACGATAATACTCACTCACACACCCCTAGACGTACCCAAGAACTTTTGAAGCAGTTCCGTTGGGATGTTTTTGATCACCCTCCCACCCCCATCCCCTCGCCTAGATTTGGCACCGAGCAACTACCACTTCTGGCAGATGAAACAGTGGCTTGTGTCGCGATGATGACAATACGCTTCATGATGCTGTTATAGGGTGGCCTCATTCCCACGCAGGAGATTTTTTTTCAGAAGGAATTTCAAACCTTGCAAGACATTATGACAAGTGCCTCAATTCGAATGGCGATTATTTCAAAAAGTAATGTAATGTTGTAGTTTTCTAATGTATCTGTATCTGTGAGTGTCTGTCATTGATAACCAAACAGAAGCTTATTTCTGAATTGCCCTCATGTATGTATGTGTGTGTGTATATATATAGTAAAAAATAAAATGAACACCAGGGTAAAGATAAAACTATAAAAGTTTAATTAAAAAGCGCCAAGCTTTCGCCGTCACCTGCCGGCATCCTCAGGGCTAGTACGCCAGGAAGTGTGAGTCTTTTTATAGGTATGTCAGAGCCTGCGCGCGACTCCTCGACCTCGTCACCGGGCCAGATTGATTCAATTGCACAAGGCTGGTCTGTTCTTTCCTGTTCCTTTCAGTTGCGTGTCTCTCCTCGTCCATCCTACCTTCCTTTAACTCTGGGGTGAATGGATAAGAGTCTCTATTATTTCGATGGTCTCTATACTTTAGTTCTTTCCCCCCAGGTTCGGGTAACAATATGCATTTCATGTTCTTTTCACAATCGTCCTTTACCCAGTTGCTCCTTTCGCGATGGCTTTCTCTTTTGGCTTTAATGCTTTCACTTTCTACGCAACTCTCATCCGGGTGATCTTGTAAATTATTCCGAGTTGAATGTGACATAGTGATGGTCTGAGGTTGGGAGGTAGGTTGTTCAGTTATGGGGGGGAGCGGTTTTCTAGCTGTCATTGTATTTAGCGCACACCATGCTACGGGTAACCGGTCTGGGGGGGTAGTGGTAGCGAGATCACATTCTCCTTGGTTGTCACAATACTTTTCTCCCGTTTTCTTTTTCTTTCCTGCGTTGCTTGTGTCTGCGCATGTCTCACGGAGATCTTCAGGATTCACATCGCGAATCTCCCCCCTCCATCTTCCCCTCCGTTCCGATCTATTCTTTTCTTTCTCCCCAGTGGCATTCACGGGTCCGTTGCTAGTTACACTTCGCAATTCCCACTGTTTTGCACCCGCCATGCTGCGGGTGATCTCGCTACCACTACCCCCCCCCAGACCGGTTACCCGTAGCATGGTGTGCGAAAAACAGCTAAATACAATGACAGCTAGAAAACCGCTCCACCCCATAACTGAACAACCTACCTCCCAACCTCAGACCATCACTATGTCACATTCAACTCGGAATAATTTACAAGATCACCCGGATGAGAGTTGCGTAGAAAGTGAAAGCATTAAAGCCAAAAGAGAAAGCCATCGCGAAAGGAGCAACTGGGTAAAGGACGATTGTGAAAAGAACATGAAATGCATATTGTTACCCGAACCTGGGGGGAAGGAACTAAAGTATAGAGACCATCGAAATAATAGAGACTCTTATCCATTCACCCCAGAGTTAAAGGAAGGTAGGATGGACGAGGAGAGACACGCAACTGAAAGGAACAGGAAAGAACAGACCAGCCTTGTGCAATTGAATCAATCTGGCCCGGTGACGAGGTCGAGGAGTCGCGCGCAGGCTCTGACATACCTATAAAAAGACTCACACTTCCTGGCGTACTAGCCCTGAGGATGCCGGCAGGTGACGGCGAAAGCTTGGCGCTTTTTAATTAAACTTTTATGGTTTTATCTTTACCCTGGTGTTCATTTTATTTTTTACTATGAATATTCCCAGGGCTCATGTTTTTAATTTTCTTAGTCGTGAATATATATATATATATATATATTTGTTTTCTGAGGTTTTCGCGGGTATTTGTATATAGGTCTTTGGTTGTTCGGGTTTTCTCCCGCGTAAAATTGGAAGTGTCTTGGCAACGTTTCGACGAAGTCACATTCGTCATCTTCAGGCTGGTGTTTAGCTTCTGCTTGAGCAGCAATGTGTGGTCTTAGCTGTTTCTTCCTTTTAACTGCCAGTGGGGGTATGAACTGATTGGGTGGGAGCTTGGCTGTGTTCTGATTGGGTGGAGGTGTGTTCTGATTGGTTGCGCTGTGCTCTGATGGCTGTGCTCTGATTGGCTGGGGGAGTGTTCTGTTTGGTTGTGCTCAGGTTAGTCTGAGTTGCAGAGGGGTTTAAGATTTTGGGCTGCCTTGCTATTTTTTGGCTTCGCGTTCGTGGTCGTGCCTCTCTTCATGGAGGGTGTCAGTTTGCTTCATGTATGGATTGGAGGGGTTTAAAGTGGCTAATGATGCAGCTGTGGTCTGGCTTCTGGTTTGTGGTCGTGCCTCATCATCGGTGTGGCTTTGGGTTTGCTTTTTGCGTGGATGTGTGGTGGTGACATCCTGTGTGGTTTTTGTGAGTGTGGGTCTGGTATCATTTTTTGTGTTAGGGAGTCGTTTGTCAATAAGGGCGGGTTTCCAAATGGCTGGTAGGCGGGAGGTATCATCTCGCTTGTTCATGCTGTGTGGGCGTTTTTCTATCTCGATGGCTTCTCTGATTATTCTGTTATTAAAATGTTCACTTTTGGCAATGGTTCTGGTATTTTTAAATACTGGCCCTAATCAGAAATGAACTTCACACAAAAAGATTCCTCCTAGACCGAATCAACAAAGATCTCCTCACACTCCACCTCAAACTCAGCAACAAGATACTTTGGGACAAATCCAAACAACTCGCCGTCTGGAGAGCCGAAACACAGACCACCCTCAAGACAGATACACACACCAACAAACTCCGAAGACTACAAGAACGCCAGAAACAAACCCCTCCTCCCTCACAGCCACACATGAAACAAACAGTGCATAACATCTCAGATAGGATCCTCACCAAAGCCGAAACCAATGTCCTTTCCAAAGGATTCAACTTTGCAGTCGCTCCCAAACACATCCCCACTGAAACCATTATATGTGGAGTTGAAACCAGCCTGACCAAAATCAACCCCGACGATGCTAACAGAATCAGACTCGAAATCACCAACATCCTCTGTACCAGCAAGCCACCCAAAAGCAACTTACCCAAAGAGGAACAGACAGCACTACGTAACCTGAAAGAAGACACCAGCATAATAATCCTACCAGCAGACAAGGGCAACGCCACGGTGGTTATGAACACATCTGACTACCAAACCAAATTAACCAACCTACTCCAAGACTCCACATACAAAACCCTAAATACAGATCCCACCACCTACCTGGAAAAAACCACCAGATCCAAAATAAAAGCCTCCCCCATTAGCGAAGAGATCCAGCAAAGAATCATTCCCAGAGAGAAATCATCCAGATGCCCCAAACTCTATGGTCTCCCCAAGATACACAAGAAGGAACCCCACTCAGACCTATAGTCAGCTCCATAGGCTCACCTCTACAAAACCTAGCCAAATTTCTCGCCAAACAACTACAGCCCTATGCAGAATCCATCACCTCACACGTAAAAAACTCATTCCACTTTATAGAGATCATAAAGAAACAAAACTTACAGCCCAGCGACCTACTCGTGAGCTTTGATGTCATATCCCTCTTCACCCAAGTGCCTATCAAAGAAGCCTTGACAGCTATCAAAACAAATATAACCCCCCCAAACACATCTTAGATCTGACCAACCACTGCCTATCCAACACATACTTCATCTATAATGGACAAAAATACAAACAAACAGAAGGAGCACCCATGGGATCACCCCTCTCACCTGTCATTGCCAACCTCTACATGGAACACTTTGAAACCCAAGCTCTAGAAAAATCGGATCACAAACCCAAACTCTGGCTCAGATACGTAGACGACACCTTCATAATCTGGCCACATGGGAAAGAAAAACTGGACAACTTCCTCACACACCTCAACAGCCTACACCCCAAAATACAGTTCACCATGGAAACAGAAGCTAACAACCAACTTCCCTTCCTGGATGTCTTAGTCTACAAGAAATCCAATGGCTCCCTAGGACACACCATCTACCAGAAGAAAACACACACAAACCGCTATCTGCACGCTCTCTCACACCACCACCCAGCACAGATCAACTCTGTAGCCAAGACACTCATCTCCAGAACAAAACGCTTAGCTGACGAACAACACCTAAAAAACGAACTACACACTCTCACCAATGTACTAACATCCAATGGATTCCAAAGAAATAAGATTACAAACCTAATCCAAAAAGAAACCCCCACTAAAATCCAAGACAAAGAACAAGAAAACGGCAAAGCCCTCCTCCCATACATAAAAGGCACCACAGACAGAATCAGTAAGATCCTCCATAAACACAACATCAAAACAGCATTCTGCACAAACAGAAAAATATCCACCATCCTTAGAAACCCCAAAGATAAAATTGAATTAGAAAATCAAGGAGTATACGAAATCCCATGCACCACTTGTCCCACCACATACATCGGACAAACCAACAGAAGAATAAGTGCACGCATTGAAGAACATAAGAACTCAGTCAAAAAAGAGGAACCAACATCTTCCCTGGTCCAACACCTTAAAGCCACAGGACATGAAATTGACTTTAAAAATACCAGAACCATTGCCAAAAGTGAACATTTTAATAACAGAATAATCAGAGAAGCCATCGAGATAGAAAAACGCCCACACAGCATGAACAAGCGAGATGATACCTCCCGCCTACCAGCCATTTGGAAACCCGCCCTTATTGACAAACGACTCCCTAATACAAAAAATGATACCAGACCCACACTCACAAAAACCACACAGGATGTCACCACCACACATCCACGCAAAAAGCAAACCCAAAGCCACACCGATGATGAGGCACGACCACAAACCAGAAGCCAGACCAGAGCTGCATCATTAGCCACTTTAAAGCCCTCCAATCCATACATGAAGCAAACTGACACCCTCCATGAAAATGAGGCACGACCACAAACGCGAAGCCAAAAAATAGCAAGGCAGCCCAAAATCTTAAACCCCTCTGCAACTCAGACTAACCTGAGCACAACCAAACAGAACACTCCCCCAGCCAATCAGAGCACAGCCAACCCCCCAGCCAATCAGAGCACAGCCAACCCCCCAGCCAATCAGAGCACAGCCACGCCCCTAACCAATCAGAACACACCTCCACCCAATCAGAACACAGCCAAGCTCCCACCCAATCAGTTCATACCCCCACTGGCAGTTAAAAGGAAGAAACAGCTAAGACCACACATTGCTGCTCGAAGCACGAAGCTGAAAACACCAGCCTGAAGATGACGAATGGGACTTCGTCGAAACGTCGCCAAGACACTTCCAATTTTACGCGGGAGAAAACCCGAACAACCAAAGACCTACATACAAACACCCGCGAAAACCTCAGAAAACACACACACACACACATATATATATATATATATATATATATATATATATATATATATATATATTTCAGTCACTCTTGTTCAGTAAAATTTATTCCCAAAATTTATCTGTAGATAAGCCAGTGTAATCATTTAGAGCGCCATCTACTACATAAAAATGGCTGTATCTTAATTTACTATTAACATTTAAAATGTATTTTCAAAGTACCTACGTGTATTTATTTATGTTGTTTTTTTTCTCTAGATATTTGCCATCTCTTTCAATCTTTCCTCTTTTTGTTTACAGATAGGTGAGAGAATTCGTGTTATCCTGGATATGGAAGACAAAACCTTGGCTTTTGAGAGAGGCTATGAGTTCTTAGGAGTTGCATTTCGAGGACTGCCAAAGACATGTCTGTATCCAGCAGTGTCTGCTGTATATGGCAACACTGAGGTGACGTTAGTTTATCTAGGAAAACCTTTAGATGGATGATAGTTTTGTGTTGGTTTTACTTTGTTTTTGTTTTTTTAGCAAGAACATGAAAATCAAGTTGACAATATGGAGAAACCTGCATATTGGTTAACAGGACAGCATGAGGAAAATACATGGATGTGTGCTCAAGAAACCAAAACTTGTGATTAAAAAGACCAACTGTTCTTAACAGAGTACACTGACATTTCCTTTTTCTGCCGGACCAGAAAAATTCCTCAGGGGGGTTACAGTTAAACAGGCAGTTAACCACAAGCATGTTGTATCGGATTTTGTACCAAGAGTGGCAATATGGAATCCTGTATATACGTAAGGAATTGTTTAATAGAAGTGATTGAGGAAGTTATCTAATATGTGAGAGTAACGTGTTCTGTGGAAAAGGTTTCCATTTTGAAAGCGATTTGTTCTTTTCCAACCTTTAATCCAGTGTGTTTTACCAAAGGTAATAAACTTATTGGATTTTATTTAATATATTTTGGTTGTGCTGGTAAGCACTGATTCTGGAGATCAGTTTTCCAGAGCTATATTGTGCAGCTATACTGAAGTGTATTTTAAAAATTGTTTGTATAGAAACTAAAAATTGAATGAAAGAAAGGTTTGCTAACCAGTATGTAATTTCTTAAATGGAAAAACCACTACATGTCAAATGTCAATCTTTGTCTAGGAATTGGACAAAATATATACAAGTGCATTTCTGTTTTGTTGTGCCACATCTCTTTTGGCAAAAGGAGCAATGTATGCTTATTAAATAATGGTTGAGATTGATAAATAGAATAGTATATATGTGGAAGGGTAAAATTTATTTCTAATGTATTTTGAAAAATTAGGTTTCCAAAGTATTTCCAAATAGCGGTCATTTCAAAATACTCAACTCCTTAAATTAAATCAACTGAAATATAAGCAGTAATTCCATCCCTGATACACAAATTTCAGTATGGGTGGGTTTAATTTTGTTAAAATTTATTATAGAGGCTGAAAAGAATTTGTAAAAAAGTTAATGAATTTTATGTGGTGAAAGTACTTTTGGATGATAGAATGATTGTCCTTTCTTCACAATAGATTTTCCCAGATTTTCCTAGATCTTTGCCATTCCCTGGTATCCATTGCCTGCACAATTTATCTTTTAACTTTGTAATTCCACAGGCCAGCTGTTGGTACTAAATGTTATTTTGTTTATAAATCTATTTATTTAAAGGTATTGATAAAACACTTTTGTTGCAATCCTGTGCATATTTCTTTCAAAAGCATATCACATGATATTCAAGAGTTTTTTTTCCACATATGCATAGAATTGTGTCATTTGGGAGGAAATAAATATTGTTTACATTATTTTTTACATAATCTGAAATATGTGGTCTTGCAGACATCAGATAATTCCTTAAATATGTAAAAGAAAAACATTAAAGATATTTTTTTATTTTTGTTCAAGCCGGGAAAAGCTGATCGAGTTCTATGAGTGCTGCTAAATACAAGTTTTATATATATTTTTAAAATGCTTCTAACCTATGGCTAGAAAGTATACTTACTCCACAAAAAGTTTGGAATGGTAGCATTTAAGTCAGCATCTGATCCCCAATACTTGGCAGTAGCTATAGACATGTTTGTCTTTTTTCAGTTCTATTGTTTTTCTTGGCTTAACCAACTTGCTATCTGTCCTTCACCTTGGCAAATAAAGCTCTGTGACAAAAGGAAGTAACACTTGGTTAATTGTTCTGGAATATGTCTCATTTTTATCAGCCTTTTTTTAAATAAAGGCACAAGACAGCTATGGTGATAGTATTAGGCTAATTAAGAAGAGACTCCCCATCTTCATAAGCTACTGACAATTTAGGAAAACCAGAAAAGGGAATTTTAAAAGGAGAAAGGAGAAAGACTTTATTAAGAGAATTCAGTGTTTGCATGTTCTGAACTATTTGGGTTTGGCTCCCTTCTGGATTTATCCATTCATGCTCAGATACCACTAAGTTGTGTTTGAAAGCAGCATGCATGGATTAATGTTCTTAAAATGTTTGTTCTATATATGTAGTATGTCACTGAATAGAACAAGTTCATTCTTGGCATGTTTCTACAGCAAAGTCAGAATAAGGCTATGAAATGCCTTTTAACATATGGTACTAAGAGGTCATGAATAAAGTGAGAATAATATGAGATTTCCAGAAACAGTTTATTTATACAGTGCTATAAAATGCATCACTACGGTAAGTAAAACTCTGGCATGAGCTGACATAAAAGTAAAACTTTCATTAAGTTAACAGTCTCAGTGCAGTCTTGGATAGATTTTTCTCTGTTCTTATATACAAAGAATAATCTATCCTGTATAAAAAAAACTGGTCCTAAGAATAGTAGTAATGGATTTTCTAAGGTTTCAGGAATGTGCAAAATTCACAAATTTGATAATAGAACATTCTAAAGAATGCCAGAATGATCCATTCCCCTCCAGACTATATCCTTTTGGATGTGATAAAGTTCTCTGGAACTTTCTATTCCAAATCTGAGTTCTTAGAAGAAGAAACCTCTTCCCTGTTAATATAGGATGTCTTTCCTTCTTTCTGATACATGTTGCATAATACTTTTGCAAATTGTTCCCATCTGTCTCAAGGAATTATTAATCAACCTATGTATATAGAATTCTTATAACTTATTACCTGAAGACCAATTTCAAGCTGTACAAAATACTGAAATAAATTGCTAAAATATGAAAATATTACTTTTGTGTATTGTGGTTTTTAGTTGAGTACATGAATAGAGCAAGTCCATGATATTTGGTATATTATGTATTTATCTATTTGATTTTTATCCTGCCTTTATCACTTTATAAGTAATTCAAGGCAGTGAACATACTTAATAGCAATAGCAGACTTATATACTGCTTCACTTTTTTACAGCCCTCTTTAAGCAGTTTACAGAGTCAGCATATTACCCCCAACAATCTGGATCCTCATTTTACCGATCTCTGAAGGATGGAAAGCTTTGTTTACATTTGTTAAGTTCATCACTGTCATGCAAAGTTTAGCTTAATATTGACCAATCAAAGCAAAGCTTCTTAGGATTAAATTCAAAACCATAATTATTCTAGTGCTGTTCTTCCCCCCCCCCCCATTGCTCCCTGAAAGTTGTTGAGGATTGGTGGAATGCCACTTAACTTTGAATGGTCACTAAACAAATGGTTGCAAGTCATGGACTATCTGCATCTGTTTTGCTTCAGAGACTAGTGAATATCAGCTAAACCAGGGGTGGTCAAACTGCTGGTTCACGGCTGGATGCGTCACACAGAAGCTGTGCCCATCCCAGCTTGGGCAAGGGGAAAAAAGTCATGATATGTTGCGAAATGTCATGTGACACGGCAAGTTTGATACCCCTGAGCTAGACACTTGCTAAAGCTGCATAAGCAGATCCATTCATAAATTCTTAGTTATTACTGATACTGATTTCATATGTTGTCCTGCCCACTTATTCTTTTGATCTGTTTCTAAGACCCACAAAACTAGCTACTCTAAAAATTGTTCATGCATGATTTGATAAAGTTAATCTTTTCAGTTTGGAAACTATAACATCCTCCTTTGTGCCAACCCATAGGGGAATGGATATTGACACTGATATCAATGAAGTAGGTGGTATTGAAAATTTCAGACATTTTTTTTATGATGGGCTTGGGCTTGGGGGGGGGTATTTTAAAGAATTTTATGACAGTGTTAAATCTTTGCATTGCTTAAGGGACTTATTTTGTCTGAAACTCATGCCCATTTTCTGGAGATACAGCCTGTACTGGAAGGCATGGGTTGCCCATTCTGATATCAAATAATATTGTTTCATTAGTGAAAAAAATGACAGTAAATGTAATTCACTTGGAAACTGTTCTATTTTCAGAATACCTGCAAATATTCCAAATACAATAAAACATGTATTTAATGTTACAAAAGTAACATTCTTCGGTTGATGGTACAAGTTAGACAAATACTTTAAAAAGTAGGTGCAGAATTCTAGTTGGCAGAGGCTTTTCAGTTAGTGGTGGATGTATCAGCTTACTGGAATGTCTGCTTACTCTATGCTAAGCTTGTTTGAAAATAAATCTAGCAATGATCTTTCAAAGAAAACTGAATAGGCAATTTCTGAAGCTTTGGAATCAGAAATTAACAGTACAAAGATAGAAACTAGCTATTGAACAAGATTTTATTAAAATTGTGATCGTTTGTATGCTGCTAGGATAATAATTGTTTATAACATCTCTTTACACTCAAATTACTTTTTCTCTGAATACTGTGAAGAAGTCCTCTTAAATTTCTAACAGCAGGGGACAGCAGTATATCACACTAAAGCCAGCATAAGTCACAAATATAGAACAATATTTTGTAGGTACAGTAAGCAAATGCTTTCAGATATATGGGAAGTGGCATCTTTTAGCAATTTTTAATGGAGAAATGGTGAAAACTAAGCTTATGCCAAATGTACTTGATTATTATCAATTTTGAAATATAATTACGGACTGACTCAACCGTAGTTTTAGCTGGGAAACTGAGCATCCCAGACCAAACTAAATCCCCAAAAGCTATGGAATTCCTGGAAACTTGCCATTCAGATAAATAACCTATCAATATGCAGAGATTAAACCATGCTTACACACCATTCAAAACAGACAATAAAAAAGCTGAGAACAAAACAAAAAGACCAAAAACATCCTCACCAGCAGCCAGCAATTGGAGGCCGGTTGGGAAGGCAGCAGAAGGTGATAATGTAACCCCAAGAGATTGCAACCATCAAAAATATATGCCGGTTGCCAAGTATTCATATTTTGATTATGTTACTCTAGGGATGCTACAAGAGTTCTAAGTATGAAAATGTCATAAGTTTATTTTTAATTTTTTTTTAAATTTACTATATCAGACCAAAATAAATTTCATTAAAATATTCCACTAATACTTTAATTAACAAATACAATCTGCTTCTAGACGGGACTTAATCAGTACCTAAAGGTCCTCTGGAAAAATACAGTCTTCACAATCTTCTAGAAGGCAATCATTATTGGAGCCACCCTAATATCTAAAGGGAGAGTGTTCCTAAGTATAATAGCCATGATTGAAAAATAAGTCTTTTCTGGCTCCCATCTCCCATTATGGGAAATAACTTGGGTTTTGGGGGAGGATGAATAACAAAACAGCTTCTCCCAAAAGAATGTAGCACATTATTTAATGAGAAAGGTCTGTGTGTAGCACAGTTGTTTCAGTGAGAAAGGCAAAGGAAAGAGAAAGTGTCAGGGAAAATGGGGGAACTTTTTAATAAGTGATCCAGTGTTCAGCTTATAGAAGTAGGCAGAAACATAAAGACTCTTGCCACAACAAAGACATTCAAAAATTTGGGACTTCCTGTGACAGGAAAGAGGGAAAATACTAGGTAGAGAATCTATATCATACACATGCCATACAAACACATTTACACTAAGGAGCATTGCACAATTTCCACCTTATTTGGGAAGGAAGGATAAAATTGAACCATTCTGAACTGAAGGGAGAAGGGTGCTGGGAGGGAATCAGCTACTCTTTGCATCTTGTGCATAGAGTTCTTGTCCTTGCAGATCAGTGTTGGATCCTTCACCCTTTAGAAGGGAAAGAAGATTCCTATCCACGATATAACTCTTTTTTCAGTGCTGTTTGTATTGAGCATCAGTACCAAATAAAAACAAATTTGTTGTGTATCATAGTAACAAATTGCATGCCTCCTTCCTAGAAATACTATACTGAGAAAGGATTCTAGAAGATTGAAAGGTAAAATGTATGTTAGGGATTATATATTTCAGTAGGTATATTTAAGTATGTTCCTTTAAAATTTCTGGTTAATCTATGCCCACATCTGCCCAGTTTCATTTTTTAAATTAGCTGTGATGGTATTTAGAAAATACAGTAATATGAAAATATTAGTGTATAAATGTGGAGGCCACTGAAACTTCACTATTGTAACATTTGGGGAAAGATAGTTATCAGTTCTCAGAGTAATTTCATAAATACTTAGATATATATCTAGAAATTTATATACTCTGACTACTGCTTACATTTTGAAAATCAGAGAATGACAGTTACAAATATTGGGGTTCTGATGCTTTAGGAGATGACCAGGCTGAGCCCGAGGGAAGGGTCAAACACATTATCAGTTTCGAGGCCCTTCAGACCCACAAGAGATTTAAGTCCAGCCTGCCTTGAATTCCATTGATTTTATCACAGTCAGTTTGCTTTGACCATTAGTAGTTCAGATTCTTGTAAAGAGCTTAAGCCTTCAATAAAGCTTTATACAGGTAGTATTCGACTTACAACAGTTCATTTAGTGCCTGTTCAAAGTTACAATGGCACTAA